AAAGTCAAGACGACTGTAGCTCCCACACAGCATCCCCGGAGATTACAACCCATCGTCTTAAACCCGCTGCCTGCTCAGGGTTCGCTGGGTCTGTCCCGGGTGTTAGTCCCTTTCAGGGACACCCCCGTTCCAAACAGACATGTTCCCACAAGGCCAGCAGGAAGCAAGTTGCCAACCCACAGAAATTTCATTCACGGACAAAATGGAAAAATTTACAGACAGACACATTTTTTTACAGACATAATTTTTGTACTATATTAAGACGACATAAATGGCCAAAAATGGAAAGTCGTCGTTGTCATTCATCCATCACAAAAACAATATGCTATTTAACTCCCTTTCATTTAGTTAGTCGTGGTCCTAGAATTTTGCACGTGATGTCATCTCAACCGTTGAGCTAAATAAACAACGAAAATGTCCAATTCCCGCTACTCTGCAGTAAAACGGCTGAAGCAGCACAGAAGATATTTAGTTGCTCTGGAATATTTGCTGTCTTTTGAAATTTTATTGCACTTTTACGAAATTTACGGACACCTACATTTTTTTTTTACCAACTTAAGAACATAAGGACATGAGAATGGCCATTCTGAGTCAGACCAAAGGTCCATCCAGCCCTTCACAGACATGCCCAATTGCGGCTAATTTTTTACACACTTTCTGTAAATTTACTAATGGTCAGCAACCCTGGCAGGAAGGAAACCCAGCGAGGGCTTCACCAAGCTGCTCATGGAGAAATTGCACAGTGGGAGGGTATGGAACTCACAGCTGGAGCCATGGCATGCACAGCTGGGGCTATGGAATGAACAACTGGAGCTGTGGATTGCACAGCTGGAGCCATGGCATGCACAGTGTGTGGGGGGGGAGTATGGAATGCACAGCTGGATCAAGGTCTATTTTGAGCTGAGCTCAGCAGCCCTGCAGCCCGTGGAAGATCCCTCCACCCCGGTGCTGGGCTGGTGATGAATAAGGCTGGTGGCCTGTGAGTGGAGGGGAGACACCAGCCCCCTTCACTCACAGGAGGGGTGGGGGACGCGGCCCCCATGGGAGATGCAGAAGGGGATTGAAAGCGACTTAGTGCAGGGCTGGACCTGTGGGTTCCAGGCCTCAGGTGAGGGGCTGGAGGGTTCCCTGCCCCTCCGATCCAGCCAGCTCCCCATATCTGGGTCCTGCTAAGAGCCTGTGCCTCTGTCCCCAGATGGGAAAGGTCCCATCCTGCTTTCCTGTTGTATGGTTCGGCTTTTGGATACGAGAGGAGCCAGTAAAAACTCCTCAGATAGACTCTTGTGAACTTTATTATGCACAGAGTAACCAAGGAAAGCAGTGCAAGGTTACACCGATCTATTTCAATGCACGGACAATAATTTAACACCTACACCTAGGGCAATACCCAAGATGCTTGATTTTAAGGATACTTATTTCTATAAATCTCTCTCTCACACACACTCACATATACAGAATTCCACCAGTAAGACCTTACGATTGTCAGATGATTGGTTGATTCTCAGATGATTGTCACACAGGAGGTCGTGGCCTCGTTGTTTCCCCGTGCGCACAATGTCCACAATGCAACTCTCTGGCAGGAACAGGCACAGCTTCTAGTTGCAGCGAGTAAGGTCGTGGGGACCCCCGACCCCATCCCTCCCACCCGTTGTCTATTCTACCCTTATTTTATAACAAAGTGAGACTTGCCGTGGTCGTTCTAGTGAAATCTGCCAATTAATTATCTCTTAAGTGTATGCCCCTCTCTGGTACACATTCTGCTAATCAAACTACCGTCTTTTAGCGAATATACCCAACACCCAATATGTGTCGGGGTGAATGCCATGGGGGTTCACAGGATTGTGGAAACCCTGAGTCCTACACACTCACCCCCATGAGCTGCCACCGCATTGATGCTGCTGTCACACTGCAAGTCTGTGACAGGCCCGGCCCGTACGTAGCCATCCACGGGCAGGGGTACACTCTTCTGAGTTCTAGGAAATGTCCTTCAGCCACGTCCGAGCCAACCTGCGGGAAGTTCCCGGTCATAGGAGACGGGCGGTCAGGACTCCTGAGTCCTATCCCACGAATCAGACATCAGAAACAGTAACACACATGAACCTGCAGGGGAACATTGTAACCTGCCTGGTCACGCGATCATGGGTTCAGAAGTTGTCGTTCTTCTACAGAGGGATTTCACTAGCCAACTTGGAGAGAGTCTGCAGAACTGGGATTCATCGACAGATTGGACACCGTGACCCTGGGCTTGAACAGAAACGTTAACTGGTTAACTCACTACAAAGCCAATTTCCCCTGCCTTTCACATCGGCTTTTTCACATCAAAAGCTATGGAAAGGGCCCATCCAACCTTCTTAATTAGCTTCATTAATATGGGTCCTACAATTGGCAGGAAACTGGTTTTGCTGTACTATAGACTTCGGATTCTCTTATTTCCACTCCAACCCATCTGATGAAGAGGGTTTTACCCACAAAAGCTCATGATGATATTTACATTATAAAACATAGATATTTGTTAGTCTCTAGGCTACTATATATATGATGGCAAGAGCTGAGGCAGGAATAGGTTAGCCTCTCTCCCTCACCCCATGGACCACTGATGCTCTATGTCCCTGCACCTCTGAATGGAAAGACAATTATAGGCTGGAAACAGTGATCCGCGGCCAATAGGAGGAGTGAACCCTTGTACCCACAGAGGTGCAGGTATACACGATGGCAGGGGGGCTGTTCAATTTGCTGGCTGAGAGTCACGTCTGGCTGCAGATGGGGGTGAAGAGCCTGAGGACTCCCCCATGTTCTGTGCCCCCTAGCGACCACGTCCACTTTACCAAGTAGATTTTGCTGTTTTGCTCATAAACTGATCATTTTTGAAGTGATAACTTGATTGTTGTGTCCTGGAAGGTCACTGGACGTCTGTGGATACAAGCCTATGACTCAGAGATCAGTTATAAGGGATAACAGTTTGTTTTCCGGGGTTTCTTTACACTCTCTTGTGGTAAAAGAGCTTGGGGTATCCCTTTGGGAGAAATCCAAGTGCTTCTTACCAGGTGTAAGAAGAAGGAGGAATTATTTTTACACTTGATAGTGACAGCGACAGCCCAAGGCCAAGCACTCTGTGACCATGGGGATATTTTTGAAACAGAAACCTTTAGAGGAAGGTATTTAATGTCACTGGCGGGCCCCCACCTTGTGCGCTTGGAGTGCCAGAGTAGGGAACAGCTTTGACAAGTGTTACAAACTCTGTTTCCGTCCTTTAATAGCTACCTATTGGTAAATGCATTCTCACTTTTTCCGATTTTCATCCTGGACGTCTCTCTTGGAATTGGGCTCTCCGATGGATGAGGGCTGGGATTGATCCATGCAGATACAAGGAGATTGGGATGTCACCGTCCAGAGCGACATTCTCTGTGGCCTTTCCAAGGTCAACGTAGATGCATGAACATCCACCCAGCTCCATCTCGCTTCTTACCTGATTCATTCCAGTTGAGGCTGTTCCAGTTGTGATTAATCCAGGCCCACATGGCCACACACAGATGGCTTTGAGATCCATGCAAATCCCTGTGCGTCCATTCTAGATACATCTAAAGCCCCTCATTTGTGTTCAAGACCCATCTCTCTGCCCTTCCAGTTCTGGATCCACCCACCACTTGGACACTGCTGGTCTGGCCTGATCCAGAGGCAGCAGGAGGATGGTTGGGACCTTGCACACAGAAGATTGCTCCTGGCTCTATGTGCTTCGTCCTCTGTTAGGAGATGACACCTCCCACACTGGCCAGGGACCTAATCGACAGGGGACGGGGCTGAGCCCCGTTGAGGGTTGGTAAACTGAATAGGGCAGCAGAAGTGTCTGTCACTGGACTTCTGGGGGGTGAGGGAGATGCTCGGAGTGTCACGTACGCAAGGTCTGAGGTGGGAGGTGGTATCAGGGAGATCAGAGCCACCCGTCTCTATCTCACACAGGGGCCAGGGTGTAATTTCTCACCCAGCTCAGATACTGATCCGTGCTGTGCACAGCCCATGTAATCAAGATGGAGAAGAGCAGAAATAGGTACTTGGAGCCAGCTGCACAGAGATGCCCTAGGGCAGGGGTGGGCAAGAGATTTGGCCTGAGGGTCGCATCTGGGACCTGACACCGGATGGCGGCATGAATGGGGATGTTACCGTGGGTTAGGGGGTGTCTCTGGGGCACAATTTGGGGAGGGGTTCTAAGAGGGAGGTTACTTAAGTGGAGATACGGTGTGATGCTGGCTATCCCTGCTTATTGTCACCCGGTGCACCAGGCTGGCGGTGTTACAGCCACACTGCTCGTCCGGACCTGTCACCGTACTGCTCAGAGCATCAGGGCAGGGGCTCCAAGAAATGCATGGCCCCTGTGCTGGGGAAGCTAAGGCTGTGGGGAAAGAGGCCAGATGAGGAGGGGCTGAGGGCCATCCCCAACTGGGAGGTCAGGGGTGGTAGAGAAGGGGCCGATATGGCCCGTGGGCCAAACTTTGCTCCCTCTGCCCTGGAGGGAAAAGGCCCCGTGTCTCCCACTGCCAACAGGTGGGACTGGCCTCTGGAGTGAGCAGTGGGACAGGAATTGTCCCTCCTGGCCCCCCAATATTTCGGGGTGGGGGGATCTCACTACAGAACAGCCCTGGAGTGTTTCTGACACTGGTGGTTGGGGAGGGGCAGCGTTCGCCACATCCTCAGCCACGTCAAGACAGTGGGGGCCGTGTTAGCCACATCCGCAGGCAGATGGACGGGCAGGGGCCCCGCTGGCCATGGCGCCAGGCCAGGGACCGGAGCAGAGAGGAAACCTCCCGCTAGGTGGGCACGGCCGTGACCTGAGAATTGCCCAATGGGCACCTTGGCCCGTGGCCCATCTCTAGTAGGTGTTCCCGGGCAGGAGTGTATGTGGGGCTCTGTGATTGGCTGGTCCTGCTCCTGCTCTCCCCACCTGGTCCATATAAGCCTCAGGCTGGAGGGAACGGCTCTGTGACCAGCCCAGGATGGCTCTGACGATGCAGCTCTTGGTGGTGGGGCTGCTCCCCTGGGCCTTCCTCCTGCCCCCTGGGGGCTGGGCTGGTGAGTGGGGGAAGGGCGCTGGGTGTGTGTGGAGAGGGGCCCATGCAGGGTAGGGGGCTGTGGGGTGAGTAAGTGTCTTCCCCTGACCCGCCGGAGGCCAAGGGACTATTGGGACCCCTGCAGCCTCCCTTGAGTACCTCTGGGGCTCTCAGCCTATAGGGGTGGGTGGATCAGCCCCCAGAGGGCATCTCTGGGACCCCACTGCCAAGCCGTGTGTCCTACTTGGAGATGCAACGGGCCACTAGCAGGGTGGCCGGGGAGACACAAGGAGCAGCTGGCGGAGAGGGGCAAGATCAGGGAGCTAAGGGGAAGGGCTCGGACCTAAGAAACTTGGGATCCTTTTCCAGCTCAGCCCAGGATCTCTGGGGGGGGGGAATTAAACTTGTCTGTGGGGCTCTTATTTCCATGTGTTGCTGATGGAAATCAGGAACCTAAACCCCTTAGGAACACGCTCCCGGGGCCTCCAATTCCCCTTTTAAGATCGAAAATGATTCGGTGTCTGTTTGGACCAGACACTTCTTGGGGATGGGCTGGGGAGTCCGAGCAGTGACTAGCGCAGTAAGAGCTCCCTGACCTGGGTCCTG